ATCAAAATAGATATTAGCTCCATTCCACACATGGAGGTTCACAAGGTTAAAGCCATCCTCCACTAGGGCTCACACCTGCTAAGTGCTATGTATGATACCACGCTGGTACTTTTTCTGCTAGGCCCAAAGGTAGCACCACACATAGGTCCCCAGGCACAATCGAGTTTGCACCATCACATTCCAAGCGTGGAAGAAGTGACAATGCCTATACAAATCAGTGACAGGGTAAGTGGAGCTGAAGAAACCCAAACTTGCAAATCAGCGTCTGCATGAACCATTTCCTCCCCCTCTCCACCTCCCCCACTGGGCAGCCTGTCTCCAGGAGACTGCTGGGTGAGTAAATAAATAAGAAGCTGATTTCTTGGCAGCCAGTCCTGGAGACACTAATTTGGAAAATTGCCTCAAATGAACACAAGAAGCACTAAACCAACACTTCAAACCCCAAGCAAAGCAACTGCAGCCCATCAGGACACTGCCTATCACACCGTTCTTCCCCAGAAAAGCCATTTTCTGTTCTTTTGTAAACACGGCCTCAAAGCTGTGAGCTCCTCCTGTTTTCATGCCCAAGTCAAAGCATCCAGGGTGCAGGGTACCCTGCAGAGTCTAGCAAGACTTTAGAATCACAGCCTGGAGGACTGGTACCCGGATGATGGTGCTTCTCTATTAACTCCAAGGCTGATGGACCATTTTCTGTCTAACCAAGCCTGACCTCTGCTTCTCAGCAAGGCAATGCCGGGCAGATGCTGAGTGCCCTGTCCAGCCCCTCCTCCTGCCAGCAGGGCAGCAGGACAGGTACCTGGCACTTGCAGGAATTCCATGCCTTCTTTCTGAGTTTGATCCCCAAGGAGAAACAACCCAATATGACTGATTCAGCAACACTTCCCTAGGCTTCCGCTTGTCATGCTGCTTCAGAATGGACGTGACCTCTTCCCCCTTCCTCTCCCTGTCTTCTCATAAGGCAGAACTTCTCAATCATTAATCCTGCAAGAACACCTTCACGACTCAGCCACACCCAGTACTGCATCTCACCCTTCACTAACACTGCCATATCGAAAAGCCAGCCGTATTGTCAGTTACAACTATAGTTATTTTAAATATGCAATTTTTGCTTAAATTTATTTCAAAAGAAAAATGTAAGACAGGTGTGGTGATGCACACCTGTCATCCTGGTACTCAGGAGGCAGGAGGATCACAAGTTCAAGGCCAACCTGGATCTTGTCTAAAAAAAAAAAAAAAAAAAAAACTGTACATTAATTACAACCAGGAATAAAAAAAAACAGGTAGTAATCAAATAAAATAGCTTTTAACTAGATATTATGTCTAGCAAGGTAGCTCAAATGGTAGAGTGCCTGCCTAGCAAGCCCGAAGCCATGAGTTCAAACCTCAGTACTGTCAATGGATAGAGATATTTAGAAAGAGATACTAGGTGTTCTCAAGATAAGGGTGTGACACAGCCTTAAAAGATGAGATAATACGGGCTGGGAAGGTCTCAAGGACACAGTAGCATCCAACTGAGATCCTCTGCTCATCACAGCACTGAAGACAGAGTAACTGCCTATGCTCACACAATGTCACACTCACATCATCTAGTCATTAAACAGAAACTAAACAAGCCAAGGTGCGAGGACAGAAGGGGAGGACCTGCCTTTTTTTAGAACCCTGGCTGTGCAGTAAGCTCTCCAGAAGGGCCCGGGGCTGTGGGGCTTCCTGTATTGGCTTTTGTATGTGTATGTGTGGTGCCACTTCCTCTGCTGAAATGAAGGAGTCACCAGAAAGGACGAAGGGAGTTGAAGAAGCTTCTGGAGTTGATGGGAGAAAGCAGGATCCAGGGTTCAGTCTCTGTCTTGGAAAGAAAAATCATAGCCCTGCTCAATGAGAAAGAACACTTCCTCCCGAGACAAAACTGGAGTGACACAGGTGTCCCCAAGGGCACTTATGATGGTATCCAGAAGGAGAGCTAAGCAGTGGTGACTGAAAGTCTCGATTTTCTCCACAGATATTTTTCTCCTGAGAATAAACTTATTCTCTGAGAGTGAAGAGGATGAAATAAGTGGGTTTGGGGAGCCTGGAATGGTCATTGAAAGGCCAGAAGCCAGAGCCTCCAGGCCAAAAGAAGAGTAGGTCTTGTGTCCTAGGTCTGCTGCAGCCCCCAGCAGTGCAGGCTTGTCACCAGCAGTGTGCAGCAGTCTGGGAGACAGCAGTGCAGACCAAGGGCTGGGGCCTAGCAAGCTGACGGAAGTGCACGAGGGAAAGGAGGAACAGAATTTTCTCTAGGCCCTGCGAGACCTGACCTCGCCCGGTCTAGAAGGCAACATGCTTCTCTGCTTACACAAGGCCAACACACAAAACACCTCATTCCATCCAGCCCCATATGCATGGGAACACCTTTCTGTTCTAAATGGCCCAGTGTGAACCAAAAAGCTACGACAAAAGTACCATAATAAGCTCACATAAAACCAGCCCATCTAGAAAGAGGACAAGAGAATTACAACATGCAATTAATGTAGAAAGAGAAAAAAAATTGTGAGAGGAGATAAGACAACTATGTCATGAACATAAAGGTTAAAAATGAGGGTTGTTCAAAACTTCAGCTGAAAGGTTAATTCCCAGCGCCTTACACATAATACAATAGTTTTGTTAATGGAACAATATCCAGTTCCCTTATGTGTATCAGCCCCCACGAAGTGAGATCAGCCATGACTATAAATTAGGGGAACTTTCACACAAAACAGGTGTTTAACAGATCCTAATCTCCATACACAGGAACCTGCCATCTTTCTCTGTAAGTGCAAAAAATAAATAATTAAATAGAGCCACCATAAGACTGTCAGGTTTTTGCTGTTTATGTAAAGGAAATTTCAACCGGGATTTTAAAACCCTCAAATCTCCTGCCAAAGAAAGGAAGGGAAGGAAAGAGGGAGGGAGGAAAAATCTAACTTATTCCAGGTTCTTGTGTTGGTCGCGGCCATAGGCCAGCTCTTACTAGAAACTCTAGTATAGGTACCCAGATTTCTGTATCAAGAGACAGCGTCCAAAGTCAGAAGCCTGAGGCCCTACTTGGCCTTAACGACACTAAATGACTCTAAAGCTTTATGTAAACTCTTTATAAAAATAACTAACATGGTAGCAAGTTACAGTGATATTACTTTATCAGATGTTATGAATAACCCCCCAGACAAGATTCATTGCTATCCTTAACCCTCAAGAGCTCAGTGTGTGACATTATTTGGAAATCGGTGTAATTGTTAAGATAACGTTGTTGTGATTAGTAGAGGCTCTTCATCCAAAGTGAGGGTGTCTTTATCAGAAGATGAGAAAGAGCCACACTCAGAGAAAGATGGCCATGTGAACACACAAGCAGACTGGAGCCATTTATCTAGCAAGGACGCTGGCCATCGCCAGAAGCTGGGAGAGAGACACGGAATGGGTCCTCCCTCAAAAAGAGTTACCCTGGCTGACACCAGATTGCAGACTGCTGGCCTCCAGAACTGTGAAAGAATAAATTTCTGTTGTTTAAAGTCACCCCGTGTGGGTGCTTTGGGACAGAGGCCTTAGTGAACAAAGCCTTCAGTCTCCATCTATACAGAGGAATGTTCTCAAGAAACTACAAAAATAAATCCATACTTAAGGAATAAATGCACAAAATTCTAAACAATGTTCTCAGACTCCTCTAACCTCTAACCCTAGGAGACATCTGGCAGTGTCTGGAAGATGTTTTTAGTTGTCATAGCTAGGGGTGGAGGTGGGGTGATATGGGAATCTAATGGGCACTGAACATTCTACAATGCACAGGACACCCTATCCCCCAGTAACAAAGAATTAATCTGGCCCCAACTGCCAATAGTGCTGCGCTAATCAAAGAAAATGCAAGAGAATTCTAGAATGATCGAAAAAGGAAAACACACATTCAGAAAGTCCTGCATCTCTTACTTCCCTAATCTGATGGCCTCCCAAGTTTTTTAGCTCCTGTGTCTGCCTTCTCAAAATTGTGAAATGGTGGTAATTGTATCACGCAGGTTTTCTGAGGGTTGAATTAAAACACAGATATATTCAAGTACTCGAATAAAGCACTAGCCAAACACCAAGTAACAAGTTATAAAAAGTTTTGCACACTTAGTACAGGAAGGAAGATCTCTCTGTGCAGAGATGTGGGGTGAGGGAATGAGGGGGTGAGGGTGCAGGGAGAGAGTAGCTGGAGAAGGCCATCAAGTCTTGTACCTCATGGTCCATCTCCATCCAGCTTTGTTACAGACTAGTGGGCCTCACAGTCTCCCTCCAGCTAAACTCAATGAGAGCTGATCCCAAAAGAGGAAGGACATGGGAGTTGCTGGACCACCCAGGCCTACAATGACTCTCCTGCACTCTTGTCATGAGACCCAATCCCAAGACCACCTGTGGGGTTGAAACTTGGGTTCCTGTCCCACCTTGCCAAACACCCCAACTAACAGTAATGACACTGCTCTCTCCTTTACCCCCTAGAAACCTGCAGTCAACCAACGCCAGGCAGCAGGTACTACAGGTTCAGTGGAAGAAACCAAGCTCTAAAGGCAGCTTCCTGTCTGGTCTCACTTATATGAAAAGCGAGTTTACTGTCTTGCAAGTGTGGACACTGGTCACCCTCATGGGAAAGAGGTGATAAAAACAAACAACAAAAAACACGGCCATATTTCTTGATCTAGGCGTGTAGAAGGTATACAGGGTTTATATTGGAGGAAAAGCATCCAGTAAATGCAGCCTCACCACCCAAAGAAAATCTTCCACTACCACCTGGAAAGAGGGCACAGCCATTCCCACCCTTCTTTGCCCATTTCCGGTTTTGTCTCACTCTCTTTTTTTTTTTTTTCCAGCTTCATGTTGCGTGCAGGGAGGGAGCGGGCGGGTAGAGGGGCGTGGCTAAGAGGGTGGGCGGGGCCTCGCCTCGGAACGGAAGCGGGAGGCCTACAGCCCTTCCGGTACTTGATGTAAACTACCGCCCCCACAATGCCCCGCGGTCCCGCGAGTGGCCTGTCTCGTCGCGAGAAGCAGCGGCTGGGGGCGTCTGTGCGGACAAACGGAAGTGTAGGTGACGGTCCCAGATATCGCCGCCAAGCTGGGAACCGGGGAGATGGCCGAGATTGACCCCAAGACCGTGCAGGACCTCACCTCGGTGGTAAGGGACAGCCATGGGGACCCCGCTTCCCGAGGCTTCGCGGTCGAAGCTAGAGTTTTGACACCGGGTGGCGGGTGTGGCCCGGCCCCTGCCCTCGACCCCAGTCACCTGCCCGTGACCTCCGACCCCGCCAGCCCACCGTTCCCGCACCCTCCGCGCTCTCCTGCCTCACCAACCCCGGCTGCCTGCGTGCAGCCAAGCCACCCTGCGTTTGGAGTCGCCGCGGCCCAAACTGGAAGGGGCTCCTCAGCCCATAGAGCTGATTTGACACTTGGGAAAACGGAAACCCGGAAAAGAAAATGCCTTGCTGAAGGCCCCCGGCTGCCAGGAGGCCGAATAGGGGAGCAACCCGGGGTCCCAGTCATCAACCCCCGTCCCCACCCTCCGACTCCACCCTCATCCCAGAAACGGGGCTCAGGATAAGCGGGACTTGCTGGTTAGATCTGGTTTCTGGTTTCTCTTAGGTGGAGACACTCCTGCAGCAGATGCAAGACAAATTTCAGACCATGTCTGACCAAATCATTGGGAGAAATATCCTTTCTTTGTAGCCAGCCCCTTGGGCACTTTGGCACCTCCTTCCCCTACAGTAGTGGAGACAGGTGGGAGGTTGCATGCCAACTCCAGCCATTCACTTGGAAATTTCCCCACTGAGCCGGGCTGTACTGCGTTCCTCAGAAAGATGGTGCATACGCCTATGCTACCCAAACCCTGGGCTCCGAGACCCTAGAGAGCCCACCAATGATCATGACTGCTATGGTTGACTGTCGACGGCCAACTGAGTGCCTGCTTTGAGCTTCACCATAACCTTAGAGGGCAGAGTGACACCATCTTTAGTGAAGGAAGAAACAGGTTTAGGGCTGGCAGAGTGACTCAAGTGGTAGAGGGCCGTCCTAAGTTCAAACCCCAGTGCTGCCAAAGAGAAAGAGAGAAACTGAAGTCTAGAGAAGAGAGAGAACTGACTGGGTCGCATCACTAGTAAGGGTCAGGGCTGAGCTTTGATCTTGGTGGCCTTGCACCAGGCTCCAGTATTCCTGACCACCAGCTTTAACTACATCCAAAGGAAATTGGTTTCCTCCTTAAGACAGTTGTATTTAAGGCCATAGTCTCCAGGGGCCTGGAGGAAACATAAAAATGGCTGTGTTGTACATTGTCTTTAACTTGGCCACTCGATGACATGAGCAGTCGTATCGATGATCTGGAGAAGAACATCGCAGACCTCATGACCCAAGCTGGCGTGGAAGAGCTGGAAGGTGAAAACAAGATACCTGCCACGCAAAAGAGTTGAAGGTGAGGGCGGCACACCTTTTCAAAGAATCAGAGGATAGCCCCGCATCCTGCCCCTGCCTGTAATCCCAGCACCCAGAAGTTGGAGGCCATATTTGGTGTAGGTCAGTTCCCTGCCATGATCCCAGGAACCATCCCTTTTTTTTCACCCCCACCATCTGCCCTCATCATGGAGTCCTGTTTTGAAACTTTTCATGCCAAACTCATTCCTTGTGCAGAAAGTTTTCCCAGTTTTTATTAAATTAGAACTATATCACTGTTACTTGAGACCACAGGCTAACAGGAAACCACTGAGTTTCTGTCCTTCCAGCAGTAACAAATGTGTTTTTGTTGGCCTGGTTCATCACCGGAAGATTTTTGTCATTGATTTGTTTTGTTTTGTTTTTGAAATATTAGGTAACTCAAGCTACCTACATTCTCAGTTTCTTAAATGTCTTAAATTCTACATACTTTATTGGGAACTTATGACAGAGATTATGGTCACATTATACTTTACTCTAGGTTTGGTTAAATCTCCACTGATCGCAGATAAGAGAAGAAAGACTAATAATTTCAAATCTATGTAACGAGAGATAGATGCACAGAAATCAGTCAATAGAATGGGTTTCTTCATTGTAAGTCTTCATCTGTGTTTGTTTGTGGTGGTGGTGATTTTCTTATAAGCTCCCCCAATTTTTAAACTCATTTTTCTCACATACTATTTGTAGCATCTTTAACTCCCTGTAAAAATAAAGATTACCCAGGATGTTATGTGACTAGAGTACCAAGCAGGATATATAATGGCAGATACCTAAATCCTGTCCTAATTTCTGGGCATGCCCCAGACTGGATTTTCAGTAACTGTGGGGTAGAAGTTGCTTTGAAGTCCAAGAGAATAAATAAAAGAGGCTCGGGAAGTTAGACACATAAACTTGCATGTGTCTTAACAATCATTGGGTTGATTCACATAACTGCTTTGTATGTGTTATGTCATCTGTATTCCTATCTAAGATAATTTGGAAAATGTCCTGCCAGTCATGGACGTTTCTCCAGGGTCTCTCTTTATATGATGTGACAGTCAGAGATCCCATCAACTAAGAATTGCAAGATGGCAGAATTGAAGATTGTCAAGTGACAGGGAGGGTATAAGGAAGGGGATGGGAGTAGGAAATGGACTCAGAAAACTTCGAATAAAGATTTCCAATTAAATCTTTTAATTTTGGTAGAATATTATACACGGGATGTTTAATTCAATAGATGGTTTCAAAAGGATGTTAATTGGTAAATCTGTGTATCATTTTTATTTGTCCTCATCTCATGAAAACCATGTTGATGGTTTTTTCCTCTTCGATAGGTTGCTGGTAGCTTACACTGAAATGTGGAACACCACTTCTCCAAGCCAAGAGGAAACCGAGTGGCTTTTTGCACCTAACTACTATGTGTAGACAGGTTTTATGTTCCAGAGTGTACATTCTCACCACGCCCTATGAAGTTAGTTTATAGAGTGACTCCCCCAGTTTCTGAAACACGGTATCCTCACATTTTGGAACTTGGTCAGTTGTCTCTTAATTATTAAACACTAAAACTTTGGTGGTTCCTGCAGAAAATTGTCAAATTTTTCAGTGTACTTTGTGAAGTCATTTTTCTTGCCATTCTGTTTGTAGCAGTTGCTGTTTGGTACAAGTTGCTGTATAATTTTTTGTTAAATGAATACTCAGTACTCTGGTTGCTGTTAGACTTAGTCAAGTGAAACATTTGTAGTTTAGGGTTCTTTCATTCTCAGCACAAAGTGACTGTTGAGGTTGGCTAAACACATGTAAAAACTGTTTATTCAGAAATATCTGTCACTGTCTACTCTTGTCAAAACTCAGAATTGAACCTTGACTCATACCTAAGTGTGTGATATCAGTGACAAGCACCCACTGCCACTTTACCTGAGAACTTTTAAAATACAGGAGGTAACTGATAGCCTGATGTAATGAGTTGTTCATTTGTTAGAATTTTGCATGAGATTCTGATAACTTCAGTAGGACCCTACATTGTTCAACTGCAATGGTTACCATAAAAAATCTGGCAGGATTTGAAAACTCAGCACTCCATCCTTTCTTTGAGAGCCGAACTGAGTTTGCCACTCAGAAGATGAATGACTGGTAGGAAGCTCTGGCTTTTGAGAAATACTATTTATTTGAATTACTTCTGACCTAAATTCTTGCAGCACAATGATTTTATTGTTGATCATGGAAGACAGAGATAATAACTGTCATTCAGAACCCCAGTGTCAGCAGTGCTAAGCCTGGAGGCCAGTATTGATGACCTGGAAGGCAGTCCCGTGGGATCAGCACCACAAAGGGATTTCATACAATAAGTATGTGAATAGTGTAGAAAGGTGAGGAATGGTATGGTCCTGCAGAAAGGAAAAGAGTTTCCCATACCTCCAAGTCTTGTTTATATTGCAAAGAAACAGTTTGCCCTATTTATAAATTGTGTGGGGAGCACAAAGGAGTGAGTTCTTCTGTGGTAAAGTGGTGTCACCATGATTATTCTCCTCCTGCAGAATGTCCTGTGGTGGCTTAGCCCCTTAGTGTCCCACCCTTGAACTCAAGCCAGAGCAGCTGAAAGCCACGTGCAGGATGTTTTCAAGGCTGGTGAATGGCAAGCAGAAACACTAGGGATTCCTGGCTGTAGGAAGGCTAGTGGGACTTACTGAGGATCTGGCTTCCTTAAGTCATAGATGTCAAGGGCGGGTCACCAGTCAGAAGTATCCACCATGAATAAAGGTGCCTGAAATCCTGCTACTGGAGCTTCCTTGTGTCAAAAGTTTGTTTGGTTTTCAGATCAAAATGTACACGCCACATTAGATTATCGCCACAAACCTCCAGCGCACGCACACTGAACCCAGGAGAGGGAAGGGGTGGAGGTGGTGTGGTTGGAGAACCCCGGGGGCAGCTGGCCTGACTTGAGACTTTCTCCGGTACATTCCCAACAGCACTTGTCCCTGGAGGAGCCCCAAGAAAGGAGGATTTGTGGTCACTCGGGTTCAGAAAACTTGCTCATACTAAGCTCACAAGCAAGCTAGCAAGTAAAGGCTCTCAAGTCTTGAGGCAGAGAAGTAGGGTCTCACTTCTCACCTGTGGGTTCCACAGATGGCCGTGAACATGGTCTTCCTCAGCCTGATTAATTGTAGAACTAGTGTGTGAGTAGACGGAGATTCCACTTCAACGAGTCCCACGGAGTGTGTTTGGACAGTGTTGCAAGTCCTCAGCCCCTTCTCCAAGCTTAGAGAAGAGCCTGTGTGAAATGGGCTTTATCCCCAGCCAAGCCTTAATGTTGGTAAGGGTGGATTCCCTGCCCTTGACCACCTTGAGAAGACCTGCAGCTGCCAGGTAAGGTACACATGCCCTGAGCACACGTTCAGACACACACTGAGGCCACCACCTGCTAGTCAGTCTCTGCCTTTCTGGCACAACCTGAGTGAGCCAAAGAAACCAGTGGACTCCCATTGAGGATGCAGCCTCCCCAGGGTGGGAACACCTTTTCCATAGCCTCACCTCAACAAAAAACCACTTTCCCCATAGCATAGCTGAGGGATCCGCCCAGCTCTTCCCTGCTCTAGGTGGACTGCAGAAAGACCTTGCTGACCCTGGTTCTCCACCTGTTCTCCACCTGCTGAGCACTGGTAGACACAGGTGAGTATGGGCTCTGAGAACAGCCTGGTGTATGGGTAAGGGCCCTTGCCTCCCGGGCCTGGAGGACCCACCAGCTTCTGCATTCTGCCCCTAGTTAATCTGCTTTCCTTCAGCCTCAGGATTTTAAAGTTTCTTGTTTTGCTATCAATTTTCTCTTTCTATGTATTGTTACTGGCAAAGTACTTCCACCTTTTGGCCAGGTCACAGCATGCACACAGGGTGCCAGGTAACTAAGGGTTTGGTTTGCCTCAGTCCCTGGAATCCTACCCCTGTTTAGGGCACTGTTGCTATGGGAACATGGCGTCTTCCAAACAGTTACTTAAAAATGAACTTTTTACACATCCTGTTTGCAAGTCAAAGGCTTTGTATTCAGATAATTAATGTTCTTTTATTTTGTATATTATGTACTTTAATCAGTTTAAAATGGAGTTATTTGAACAATGTGTTGTCATAGCTAACCCTGCCTGAAAATGAGCTGCCAGCAGTAATCAGAGATAGCACCTATTCCAAGTTTATTTTAAACCGTTGTAAGCGCTAAGCATTTTGTTCATACTATTTGGCTTAATCTTCATGACAACATCTAGTTAGGTGTCCTGGGTTTGGTTTGTTCAGCTGTACCAGAGTTTGAACTCAGGGCTTGTGCTCTACCACTTGAGCCACGCCCCCAGTTACGTTTTTATCTGATTGGTCCCCAAGGCTGGGTGTCACCCTAGTGTGCAATGACCTGGAGTCCAGCACTGCGATGCAGCACACAGCAGCCTGCCCACAGCACCTTCCCCGCAACCCCTGTGAGCTGATATGCCTCAGCTCTTTGGGCTGGGAGTCAGTCCCACAACCTGGATGGGTCTTGAAATTTTGTTTCAGATGGCTGATTTTTGCGTTTTCAATTAAGCATGGCCTAAATTTAATAGACATGTTTGAGGTGAATTTGTGTCTGGGATTGAAATTATTTGGGCTTTCTGAGCTGAGTGACTGCAGAACTAGCGGCGGCCGTTCTACAAATGCTCACCTTGGCCATGACGCAGGGAAAGCATATGCTGGCTTTCTCATGTAGCTCTTGCTGACACTGGCATGTCAGCCAGTGACCTGTTGCTGGGGACCCAGGTGAGGGAATGGACACTACCCTACCCCTCCTGTCAGATCTTGGGCTAATAAAGGAAAGTCATTAACCTCGGAAGCCTTACCTGGCGCGCACTACAAATGAGAATCACCTGGAGTCACGCTGGCTTAAGGTGGTGTCTAGTGTTGAGTGCAGCCTCTTTATTATTTTGTTGTTGTTCATTTATTCACATGTGCATACATTATTTGGGTCATTTCTCCACCCTCCCTCCCCTCCCCACCTCAGTTCCAGGCAGGTCCTGCCTGTTCTGCCCTTGTGACTGATTTTGTTGAAGAAAAGACATAAGCATAATAAGAAAGACAAAGCATTTTTGCTAGTTGAGGATAGCTGTACAGAGATTCCTAGCATTGCTTTCGTGTATCCATGTTGATTCAACTCTTTTTTTTTTTCCATTTTTCTTTTATTATTCATATGTGCATACAAGGCTTGGTTCATTTCTCCCCCCTGCCCCCACCCCCTCCCTTACCACCCACTCCACCCCCTCCCTCTCCCCCCCCTCAATACCCAGCAGAAACTATTTTGCCCTTATTTCTAATTTTGTTGTAGAGAGAGTATAAGCAATAACAGGAAGGGACAAGGGTTTTTGTTGGTTGAGATAAGGATAGCTATACAGGGCATTGACTCACATTGATTTCCTGTGTTGATTCAACTCTTAACTGATCTTTACATTGGTTCCTGATCCCCTGCTCATGATAACCTCTGTCGTTTTAAGGTTTCTGTATTAGTTCCTCTGGAGTGGGGACATCAAACGCTTTCATGTTTTGGGTTTTCTACCTACTCCTATATCTATCTTCCCTATGTGCTCTCCCTTGTCATGTGGTCCAAGTCCAACCACATTGCTGCATTTGCCCTAGATCTAAAGTCTGCATATGAGGGAGAACATACGATTTTTGGTCTTCTGAGCCTGGCTGACCTCACTCAAAATGATGTTTTCCAGTTCCATCCATTTACCTGCAAATGATAAGATTTCATTCTTCATGGCTGAGTAAAATTCCATTGTGTATAAATACCACATTTTCTTGATCCATTCATCAGTAGTGGGGCATCTTGGTTGTTAAAACTTCAGTGAATGGAAATGAGGGGTGAGGGGGCATGACTCACTCCCCCAAAAGAAGCCAAGGACTTATGATCAGACACAATTTTCCACCCCACCCATCACTTGGAAATAGAAAAGGCATTTGTTTCTGTAAGTCTGGATGATTTTGTTATAAAAACCCAAGCAGAGCCAAGTGCCGGTGGCTCACACCTGTAATCCAGCTACTCAGGAGGCCGAGATTAGATGGATCGCAGTTCGGAGCCCACCCAGGCAAACAGTTTGAAAGACTCTATCTCAAAAAAAAAAAAATCACAAAAAAAGGGTTGATGGAGTGGCTTACGGTGTAGGCCCTGAGTTCAAACCCCAGTACCTAAAAAAAAAAAGTAATGCCCTACACTTCCTCCTGAGGCTCTGGCTGTGTACTTACAGCTTCCTATCCGATGGACAGATTTTGATCAATCACTCATATTGGTCTAGCTCTCCCCTTCCCAAAAGGAACAGCATTGCTTCGTAGCAATTAAGAACAGCCTGGAGTCGGCACCCAGCTCTTGGGAAGCATTTAGCTGCCAGTGAAAATGCCCACCACCTTAACCTAGTGAGCCGATGTGTGATATCACAGGATCAGAAGTCCTAAAAGGGGCCTCGCTAAGGCCATGTGGACCCCACATGGAGTCCAGCAGAAAAGGAATGCCTCTCTCCCATCCTTCCTCTCATTTTCAGAGCGAGGGACATGTTTTCTGAAGGTTTGTCTCCCATACTT